ACACACACACACATACACACACACACACACACACACACACACCCACACACACCCACACACACCCACACAAAGACACAAACACACCTACGGAGACAAGCATAATGATATACGAGTTTTGATAACTTTTACAAAGCATTGGTAGGCCTACCCTTCATACAAATGGCAGACAATAATTCTGAAAGTGAACCAGTTCTTTGCAGTTTCTTACAGGGAAAATAGTATTCCAGCACAAACGTTTTTTTTTTAAATTAATTTTTTTTTTTATTGAACTGCCTGTCACCTCAGTGCGCTCTCGGGGATATGGCTCAAAGGGACACAATCGAACACAATTCTTCAACCTAAAAGAACACCTATTAATATTATAATATTATTCATCGACTGATACCATTCCACGAGCACGTTGTTATATCTCATTCCATTACTTCAGCCAAGTTCGTTCCGTATGTTACAACCAGATACACTGGTATACATCCTGCAGTCTCACATTTCGTGTACATTTAAGTGACATATTATACCCCCGAAAGCTATAAATCGGAAAATGATAATATAACATGTACCCACACTCCACGGCATGATTGATGCGCTTTACAACTGTTTTACCCTAGCAGACCACAGAACACCCAGATTACATTCTTGGTCTCCCCGGAAGCATACCCTGCAAGCTGTGAACTGCATGAGCTCAAACACTTTCCTACTGACAAGACCTTTCGCTGTCTATAGCCAGGTACCCAATTCCACCTGGGTAAAAAGAGGAAAGTTCATGTAAAGTTCCTTTCCCAAGGACAGATCGTCGAACCCTTACGGGATTGGAACCCATAGCCTTGCGGTTGTGAGTACGGGAGCCACACACCACTAGGCCACCAACGCCACGCATCATTTGACCTAAATGAATAAATCATTAACAGATCAATCGGCTTACCACATTGACATAATTAGCTTCTAAAGGAAAATGTTCTTTTTAAAACAATCCACTACCTATGTGCAGTGTCAGAACTGAGTCAATGACAAAAAAGTTTGATGGCCTTTAACGTGGATTTTTGATTAGTAGAGAGAGGGAGAGAGAGAGGGAGAGAGAGAGAGA